GTTTTCCAGTTCTCGAGTACTAAAAAGCCGGCATATATTTTGCCGACAGTCAGACGTCCGTTACGCAGCTCTACAGTAGGAATGGGTATTGGTTTGCATTAGAGTACAGATTATAGATTATATGACAACATATATGACACATGTGTTGACCACAAAATACAGCTATTAATCAATGCCTTCATACCATCGTTGGTTGGAATCAGTTTGTCAATAATCTTCTTGGCCTGGAGTGGCCATAGTTTGTTAAGTGTGTGTCTGAGCTCCCTGTCCGCCTGATCCATTTCCTCGGCGGGTCTCATCTTAATACTAAGGTTTTCTCTGATCAATGCAAACAGTGTTGTCGTGAAGTTGACTTTCCCCTCTTCAGTGATGGGCATATTCATGCGAATCAGTTTCTGATGGGGCACAGGTAGGTCTCATTCATTATTTATTCAATTGTCAAATTTCTACAAATTGTGTCAATACCTTATAGGCCAGTCTGTACGGACATTTGTTACCGAACCCTAATGGTGGGTCCATATTCCTCAACATATCGTACATTTCCGAGTAGTGTATATATCCGGTGGCGTTTGGGTCATATTCAGCCCAAACCCTGATATACTCGTCCAAGTGATGGGCTCCCAGTATAGAAGAATCACGGGTTAGGTAATCAAAGTTATCCATAATAACAGCCACGAATAGATTCAACATCTTTGCCATAGAATTGGTATAAAATATATGATATATTAATAGATATGATTANGCGTTTGGGTCATATTCAGCCCAAACCCTGATATACTCGTCCAAGTGATGGGCTCCCAGTATAGAAGAATCACGGGTTAGGTAATCAAAGTTATCCATAATAACAGCCACGAATAGATTCAACATCTTTGCCATAGAATTGGTATAAAATATATGATATATTAATAGATATGATTAATTCAATTATAAAATGCGAATAAAGTTTATTATTTCATTCAATAAGTACGTCTGTAAAGGGGGAAGGATTAGAGTTTCTATTAGAAACTTTCAAATTGATACGTTCTGTACGTACTTAATGAATGGTAACCAACAAGTATTTATTATACTTACGAGAAATGAGCAAAAGAATATGAAAGTGACAAAATATGAATAAGCAAGGTCTGAACCACACGAAAACATTTCATCTTCCGTCTTATTGGTCTTAGTATCGCATGGTTTGCCCGAAACACAGGACAACATAATCGACTGCCAGGCCTCGCCTGTCGCGCACCTGTATGTCCACACCGGCAGCACAACGGGTACCAAAAAGATGTGTTAATTGAATGGTAATACAAATAATGTGATTGTCGTTCATTTGAAAAAATAGTTTTCGTGTAAATTTGAGTGCATTTTGATTGAAAAGCTCATTTGGGATAACGATTAACTGATACGACATGTAATGGTTGCATATTTTGACAAACCCTTACCCTTCCATCCAATTGTCTTACCATATGATGTAGAATAGCGTTCAATATATTTTGTAAAATGCATTCAATATATACAACATATAAATACAATAATGGATATGAATATAGAATTGAGGGAACAATGAATGGGAGAGAATGCAAGACATAAGACATGAGAATATTAAGATGAAAGGGAGTGGAGGGGAGGG